GAACTCTGGGCCTGGGCGCTGTCCCTCAGCTCTTCAGCTCAAGGCTAGCGCTCTACCACTTGAGCCACAGTGCCACTTCCGGCTTTTTTCTTTTTGCTTAGGTGGTACTGAGGAATCAAACCCAGGGCCTCAGGCATGCAAGGCAAGCGCTCTACCACTGAGCCACCTTCCCAGCCCCAGACAATGGAATTTTTTATAACACTTTACTGAATAAATAATATACACAAAGGATTGAGGGCACAGCTCAATGGCTGACCACTTGCCTTGGATGCTCAAGACATGGGGTATAATTGCTAACATTGCAGTAACAACAAAAATGGAAATTAAAAGAACAAATTATATATTTTGCTTAGTTTGGATATATACATAAACAATACCATCATCATAATCAATGTACTAAAATCAGTTCCTGGCCCTATCAGCCTACTCACCTTGGCAGGACTTGCCTGACTGGCAGTGTGTCATGTGGTTCAGAACATTCTTCATCGTACGACAGTGGGGAAGGTTGCACTGCCTCACTTCCCCATTAGCCTGCTCCCGGCGCTGGCACTTGTGGGCATGTAAAAGGAGTACAAGCTGCTGCTGGATGAGCTTGCGCTTCTCTGGATCTGCAGTGTGTGCTCCAGAACCCATCCCTTGAGTGACTGGAGTCACCAGGCCTGGCTGCTGGCCCTGGGGGGCAGGTTGCTGCCCCTAAGGAATATAATAAAGATACACAACTGTCAGTTGTGACCCTTTAGTAAATGCCAATCTATTTATTTTCAGGTAAGCCTTGTAATAGCCTTTGAAAGACATGTAGTTTTTTTTTTTGTTTTTTTGGTTTTTTATTGATAAAAACACATTTCTGAGGTTAGGGATATGTTTACTTGTCTTTACATGTCTATTACTTAGAGGATACCACCTAAAATATAGGTGACACACAACAAAAGTAGACCAGGTGTGGTGGCTCACACTTCAATCCTAGCTACTCAGGAGGCTGAGGATCACAGTTCAAAGCCATCCTGGGTAAGAAACAATTTTAAGTTGTTTTTTAATATATCCCCCAGTCCTGGGACTTGAACTTTTTTTTTTTTTTGCTCCACGCTGGCACTCTACCACTTGAGCCACAGCACCCACTGCTGGCTTTGTCTGAGTCTCTGGTGCTGAGGAATCGAACCCAGGGCTTCATGCATGTGAGGCGAGCGCTCTACCACTGAGCCACCTGCCCAGCCCCTCCCTGAGACTCTTTGTGCTCAAGACTAGTGCTCTACCACTTGAGCCACTTCTGGCTTTTACTGTTTTTTTAAGTGGAGATAGAGTCTCATGGATTTACTGTCCAGGTTGGCTTCAAACCATGATCCTCAGATCTCTACTTCCTACCTAGTTAGGATTACAGGAGAGCCACCAGTGCCCAGCTGTTGAGACTGACCTTCACTTAACTACCAAAAAACCCCACAAAAACAACGAAGTGGAGGTATGGCTCAACTGATAGAACACTTAAGTGAAAAGGCCAAGCTATAGAGCCCAGACCCTGAGTTCAAGATCCAAGACCGTTCCCACATGTGCGCACACACACACACACACATAAAACCTAAACATATGGTTGTAGTAAATCCAGACAATGGAATTTTTTTTACAGCTTTACTGAAAAAATAACATACACAAAAAAGGGTTGAATTTAGATTACTATGTCTTCCTATAATTACAGATCCCACGATGAACCAAAAAATGAATAAAAATGAAAACTAAACAGCCTGGATCAGTGGCTCATGCCTGTAATCCTAGCTACTCAGGAGACTGAGATCTAAGGATCAGGGTTCAAAGTCAGGCTGGGGGGCTGGGAAGGTGGCTCAGTGGTAGAGTGCTTGCCTTGCATTCATGAGGCCCTGAGCTGGGTTCCTCAGCACCGCATAAGCAGAAAAAGCCACAAGTGGCGCTATGGCTCAAGTGGTAGAGAGCTAGCCTTGAGCTGAATAGCTGAGCAACAGCGCCTAGGCCCAGAGTGCAGGCCCACCACTGACCAAACAAACAAAAAAAGCCAGACTGGGGCTGGTGGCTCACACCTGTAATCCTAGCTACTCAGGAGGCTGAGATCTAAGGAACACAGTTCAAAGCCAGCCTGGCAAGGAAATTTTTATCTCCAATAAACCACCAGAAAACCGGAAGTGGCACTGTGGCTCAAGTTGTAGAGCTCTAGACTTGAGCTGAAGAGCTAAGGGACAGTGTTCAGGCCTAGTATTTAAGCCCCATGACCACCAAAAAAAAAAAAAACAGATATTTTCCCTAACATGCACCAATGTTTAAAACACATAAGGGGGCCTGGGGATGTAGCTTAGAGCATGGTAAAACAAAAACCAAAGTAATTTTTAGAGAGGTTACATAGATGTAACAAAAGTGAACAAAATTAATAGATCTGGTTGGTCTCTAAGAATGATGTTCTAAGAGTCTTTTACCCACAAGAGCAAAAAGGTTCAAACTTTTCTGACAGAAATGCTTACTAGCCAAAGGAGCCGTAAGGTAGGCCCTGAAACTTCACTGGTCCTATCTGGAACTGTCTTCTTATTGAACAATAGCCATAGAAAAATAAAATACCATGTGAAATGCAAAGAAAGCAAAAGCCTCCTCTCTCACAGGGTTCACTTACTTACTGCATACCTTCAAATTCCTAATGTGTACAAGCACTGGCACATACAGAAGAGAGCATCAAAGTTTCAACACATTCTTTTCTAAAATGCCAACTTAAAAAAAAAAAAAGATAAGTACATACCATGTTGGGCATCCCTCCTCCAGGAACTGCCTTTTTGTCCATTGCAAATGGAGATAAGCTATTTGGTAGTACAGTCTTTGTCTGAATCTGGAGACCCAGGCCACTGGCTCCAAGCTGCTGTCCAGAATTTTGAGAATATGGTGAACTGTAAGGATTGGGATTGCTCATCATTCCCATCTAGGAGTAAAAAAGAGAAGAAATTAAATTTTAACCCCTTATTATTAGGCCATCACTATTCCCGTCTCATTTTCTTTCTTTCTTTTTTTTTGTCGGTCATATGGGGCCTGAGTTCTGGACCTGGGCATTCTTCAGCTCAAGGCTGGCACTCTACTACTTGAGCCACAGCGCCACTTCTGGCTTTTTCTGCTTATGTGGTGCTGAGGAATCGAACCCAGGGCCTCAGGCATGCAAGGCAAGCGCTCTCCCATTGAGCCACCTTCTCAGCCCTCACTTTCTTCTTTTTTTTTGGGGGGGTCCAGTTGTGGGGCCTGAACTCTGGGCCTGGGCGCTATCCCTCAGCAATTCAGCTCAAGGCTAGCACTCTACCACTTGAGCCACAGCGCCACTTCCAGCTTTTTTCTTTTTGCTTATGTGGTGCTGAAGAATCGAACCCAGGGCCTCAGGCATGCAAGGCAAGTGCTCTACCACTGAACCACCTTCCCAAGTTCAAGCTTCAAAACTAGTACAAAATTTTTTTTCCGTTATATCGAAAATGAACTTTACAACTTTGGTGGGGGGGGAGGAGCGGGAAGGATCGGTTGGGGGACGGGGAGGATGGGAAGGGGAAACAAAGGAGGAGGCTACAATGCTTGATAAGAAATGTACTCATTATCTTACCCATATAATTGTAACCCCCCTATACAGTATTTTCACAATTAAAAAAAAAAGAAAAAAAATTTTTTTTGTAATCTGGTGTTCTACAATTTGAGCTACACCTCCAGCTGTACACTTTATGGTAGCTACTTTGAAGAGCACTCTAGCACTAATAGTTCACACCAAATGTCACGTGCAAATAAATGCATTTTCATTCAACAATACTGTATCAAACCAAAATGAGTTCTATCCCTAAATGTAAGGTTTAAAGTCAACCTCTGGCCAGATGCCGGTGGTTACACATGCCAATAATCCTAACTACTCAGGAGGCTGAGATCTGAGGATCGCAGTTCAAAGCCAGCCCAAGCAGGAAACTCCGTGAGTCTCATCTCCTACTAACCACAAGGAAACTGGAAGTGGAGCTGTGGCTCAAGTGGTAGAGTGCTGGCCTTTAGCTGAAGACCTCAGAGATAGCACCCACACCCAGAAGATCAAGCTCCACGACCGACCAAAAAAAAAAAAAAAAAAAGGAGTCTAGCTCTGGCCAGGAGCTGGTGGCTTCTATCTGTAATCCTCCCTACTCAGTAGGCTGAGATCTGAGGATTGCAGTTCAAAGCCAAACCCAGGCAAGAAAGTCCATGAGACTCATATTCTCTTCAATAAACTACCAAAAAGCCAGAAGTGGAGCTGTGACTCAAGTAGTAGAGCACCATCCTTACCAAAAAGCTAACAGACAGCACTCAGGCCATGAATGCAGTAGGGGAGATGGGGAAAGAGAGGTAAGGGAAGGGTGAAGAGGGAGAGAAAATAGAAAAAGAGTAAATTATCTCCAACTAGAAACAGCCAGCCAGCAAGACAGCAAGTATACAGAATGGTAACTCAGGATGAAATAACAATTAACCAATGAAAAGGGAATCACAAGAGGGCACTGGTGGCTCACACCTTGTAATCCTAGCTACTTAGGAGGCTGAGATCTGAGGATCATGGTTCTACTAATATTTTTACATGTCACTCTGCAATACATCTATCTATTCTAATAGACAGTTACAAAACTCATTTTTCTACCCACTCACAAGTGTGCATGCCTGCCTTTATAATACAGATTGGGTAAAACGATAAAACAGGAGCCTCAAAGAAAAAAATGAGGGAAGGGGTGGTTCCAAAGAAATGTGCTCAATACCTGACTTAGGAAACTATAACTCCTCTGTCAATCATCTTTATAAGTAAAAGCAGAACAAAACAAAACTATGAGCCTCATCACCAGTGGACATTCACAAAAGGAAAACCACCTCAGTTTTTTTGTCAGTCCCTGGGCCTGAACTCTGGGCCTGGGCGCTGTCCCTCAGCTCTTCAGCTCAAGGCTAGCGCTCTACCACTTGAACTACAGTGCCATGTCCACTGTTTTGCTAATGTGGTGCTGAAGAATCAAACCCAGGACCTCATGCATGCAAGGCAAGCACTCTACCACTAAGCCACCTTCCCAGCCACCAACCCCAGTTCTTTTGGCTTTGTAATTCTATAAATCTATACATTCCTAAAATTATCCACAGGCTCATGCCTGTAATCCTAGTGACCCAAGATGTGAGGATCACGGTTGAAAGCCAGCCTGGGCAGGAAAGTCCATCACACTCTAAAACCAGAAGTGCTGCTATGGATCAAGTGGTAGAGCACTCGCCTTGAGCTGAGGAGGTAAGGACAGAGGCCAGGCTCAGAGTTCAAGCCCCACAACTGACCAAAACAAAACAAAACAAAAAAAAAAAAACTAGAAGTGGCACTGTGGCTCAAGTAGTAGAGCTCTCGCCTTGAGGTGAAGACCTGAAGCCGGGCGCTGGTGGCTCACGCCTGTAATCCTAGCTACTCAGGAGGCTGAGATCTGAGGATCTCGGTTCAAAGCCAGCCCGGGCAGGAGAGACCGTGAGACTCCTATCTCCAATAAACCACCAGAAAACTGGAAGTGGCGCTGTAGCTCATGTGGTAGAGCTCTCGCCTTGAGCTGAAGAGCTGAGGGACAGCACCCAGGCCCAGAGTTCAAGCCCCATGACCGACAAAAAAAGAAAAAGAAAGAGGTGAAGACCTGAGCTAGACCATAGTGGCTCACGCCTGTAATCCTAGCTACTCAGGAGGCTGAGATCTGAGGATCTCGGTTCAAAGCCAGCCCGGGCAGGAAAGACCGTGAAACTCCTATCTCCAATACAACACTAGAAAACTGGAAGTGGCAGTGTAGCTCAAGTGGTAGAGTGCTCGCCTTAGCTGAAGAGCTGAGGGACAGTGCTCAGGCCCAGAGTTCAAGGCCCACAACCAACCAGAAAAAAAAAAACTTATGTGATTTTTAATGCCAAGGTCTTTTCAGTAACATTATTTGCAGGCCATACAAAATTATTAATAGAGGCAAATGGGCCATGCGTATTTGATGAGAAGCAAACATTGTCTGGGGCTAAGATGTATCAGATGATTTAATCGGTCTTATATGATCTAATAGGAATAAGGAATGAAATTGTTTGTCACCTGACCTATACTCTGGAAATCTTTTTTTTTTTTTTGGGGGGGGGTCAAGTCTTGGGGCCTGAACTCTGGGCCTGGGTGCTGTCCTCAGCTCTTCAGCTCAAGGCTAGCGCTCTTCCATTTGAGCCACAGCGTCACTTCCGGCTTTTTTCTTTTTGCTTATGTGGTGCTGAAGAATTGAACCCAGGGCCTCATGAATGCAAGGCAAGCGCCCTACCACTGAGCCACATTCCCAGCACCTATACTCAGGAAATCTATATAAATAAATCATATTGCCAGGCTAGAGTGGCTCATACCAGTAATCCTAATTCCTTAAATGGCTAAAACCTGAAAAGTACTGTTAAAATCCAGCCAGGCGCTGGTGGCTCATGCCTGTAATCCTAGCTACTCAGAAGGCTGAGCTCTGAGGATAGCAGTTCAAAGCCAGCCAGGGCAGGAAAGTCCCTGAGACTCATCTCTCCAATAAACCACTACAAAATTGGAAGTGGCGCTGTGGCTCAAGCAGTAGAGCGCTTGCCTTGAGCTGAAGAGCTGAGGGATAGCACCCACGCCCAGAGTACAAGCCATACGACTGACCAAAAAAAAATCCAGCCTGAAAACACAATTCAAAAAAAATTCTTGGGCTGGAAAGGTGGCTCAGTGGTAGAGCGCTTGCCTTGCATGCCTGAGGCCCTGGGTTCGATTCCTCAGCACCACATAAGCAAAAAAAAAAAAAAAAAAAGCCGGAAGTGGTGCTGTGGATCAAATGGTAGAGCGCTAGAAGAGCTGAGGGACAGCGACACCAGGCCCAGAGTTCAGGCCCCACGATCAGACCCAAAAAAATAAATATAAATTCTTGTTTTGTCAGTCAGACTTGAACTCAGAGGCTGGCCACTGTCCTGAGCCATGGTACTCAAAGCTAGCACTATCATTTTGATTTGAGCCCAAATCAACTTCCAGTTTTCTGGTCCTTAATTGGAGATACAAATATCACTGACTTGACTGCCTTGGCTGGCCTTGAACTATGATCCTCAGATTATCAACCACCTCAGTAGCCACATTACAGATGTGAGCCACTGGTGTTTAGTGCCAAAAAATTCTTTTATACTGCAAAAATCTAAAAGCAAGTCTGGCTCAAGTGTAGGGTACCAGCCTTGAACAAGGAAACCAAGCAAGAGTAGAAGGCCCTAAGTTCAAGCTCCAAAAAAGGATGTCTGTATGTACATCAATATCCCCATGATACAAAGGAAAAGAAAAAAAAAACCACTACAACATTAGTAACCCTAGCAACTCAGGAGGCTGATATCTGAGGATACTGGTTCAAAGCCAGCCCAGCCCAGCCCAGCCCAAGCAGGGGAAAATCTGTGAGACTTACCTCCAATTAATCACCAGAAAACTGGAAGTAGTACTGTGGCTCAACAAGTGGTAGAATGGAGCTGGGAAGGTGGCTCAGTGGTAGAGTGCTTGCCTTGCATGCATGAGGCCCTGGGTTCGATTCCTCAGCACCGCATAAGCAGAAAAATCCACAAGTGGCTCTGTGGCTCAAGTGGTAGAGCGCTAGCCTTGAGCTGAAGAGCCGAAGGACAGCGCCCAGGCCCAAAGTTCAAGCCCCACAACCAACAACACCAACTTGTAAATGCCCAGCAAATCTTGTACCCTTGTATTATGCAGCAGATGCTCTATATAAAATTGAACATCATCAGTGAAGACTTAAAACCCTCGCTAGAATACTCAGATGGGCACTGAATATGCACAAACCAACACTCAGATGGGCACTGAATATGCACAAACCAACACGGTACTCACCTTAAGAGGCTGGGGGCCTCTCAATCCTGCTTGTCCTCCCATCTGAGGAGAGCCCTGCTGCAGTGGCTCAGTCAATAAGCTGCCAGTATTTCCCATTCCTGGGTTTGGGTACTGCATATTCGGTCGTCCTCGTCCTGCTCCAATTGAACCATTCATGACTTGATTAGGCATTATCCCTTGTCCATTGCCTGCAGCCAACATTCCAGGATTCATGCCAGCATTCATCCCTGTGTTCATTCCCATGGCAGGCTGATTTACTGGACTGTTCATTATACCTGTTGTGGACTGAGTAGGACCCTGATTTGGTCCACTGGTGCCCATACCCATGTTGGGAGAAGTCAAGCCAGGCTGTGCCATTGGGCTTTTGACCATGCTATTTATCAAACCTAATCCAGGACTGTTCTGTTGGGCCTGACTTGCCATGACCTGGCCTGGACCACCAACCCCCATGTTGAGGTTAGGGGAACTACCAGATCGTAATAATTCTGACAACTGTTTATGTTTAGAAGCTGCATCTTGTACTATGCCAAGACTTGTCTGAATCTGACTAATATCACCACCATTGGTTAGTCCCAATTCTGTAGAGTTGATTAATTCATCTGGTAAGTCGTGCTCCAGGTCAAACAGAGAGCCAAAATCTAAACACAAATACAAAAGATACAGGTTACAATTTGACACAGAATCAGAAACTGTTACTAAAATTAAAAAAAAAAAAAACCTTTACAAAAAAACCCTTTACATTTTGGTTCTTACAACTAACATTTCCAAACATGACCCTAGAAATATTATCTTGCTACGCTATATTATAAAACATCTATGTATTCAAAACGAATTTTTGGTTATGCAACATTGAATACTTGAGAACTTATCCAAACACCTTTTCATATGTATATAAAATAATACACAGACTGAGAAGAACCGCAAAGATATGGAAACAAAGGACTTCCTCCTAAAATTTTTTTTTGGGGGGGCAGTCTTGGGGCTTGAACTCATGCTCAGGGCACTGTCCTTGAGCTTCTGTTTGGTCTAACTGAGCACTCTACCACTTGAGCCACAGAGCCACTTCTGGCTTTTTGTATATGTAGTACTGAGGAATCAAACCCAGGGCTTCATGCATACCAGGCAAGAACTCTACCACTAAGCCTAAAAGACCTTTTCTTAATTTGTCTTATTGTTTTTCTGTACTCTTTACCTCAACTATGGTGTATTCATGTGCACATCTGAGGGAAAGTGGGAGGACAGAATCAGAGGAAAGCGGGCAAAAGTACAGCAGAGGAGCCTATCAGCTGCTGGACATTGATGAAAGAGAACTAAGCAACTGAAGGGTGGTGATAGGAGGGAGGGAACAAGAGAGGAGAAGGGAACAGCTGATACTAAGCAAAAGGAAAGAAATGTACATATCATCCGACATACGTATATGTAAATACATATATGTGTATATGTATACACATATACAGTACATGTGTGCTTGTGTGTATATATATATGTATACATGGGAAACCTGCTGTATATCACCTCTAAAACAATAATTTTTTAAAAAGCAATTATAAAAAAATATGTAGCTTGATAAGAAATGTACTCATTATCTTGCCCATGTAATTTTAACCCCTCTGTATTTTCACAATAAAAAAAACTCAACATCAAAAAAAAATATGTAGGGCTGGGTGCTGGTGGCTTACGCCTGTAATCCTAGCTACTCAGGAGGCTGAGGATCTGAGGATCACAGGGTTCAAAGCCAGCCCGGGCAGGAAAGGCCATGAGACTCTTATCTCCAATAAACCACAGAAAACCGGAAGTGATGCTGTGGCTCAAGTGGTACAGCACTAGCCTTGAGCTGAAGAGCTAAGGGACAGTGCCCAGGTTCAGAGTTCAAGCCCCACA